GGTGGGGGGGGGGCACGGACCGCCCCGCCCGTGTCGTTCTAGGGTGGGACGTAGAGCTTGCAGAAGGCCGAGTAGGTCAGATCTCGAGGGCCGTGAGGAGTGACGTGAGGAAGGACAGCAGAGGAGGAAGGACATGCAGGCCCAGGGGGTGGGTCGGGCTGCATTTAAAAAAAGAGCTCGGGGGAACCAGCAGTTAGCGTAATGGCTATGTCGCTGGACTCCCACGTAGTCGACCATGGTTCACGTCCCAGACCCAGTGGCTTAAACTCACGCTGGGTGCGTGTGCGTGCGTGCCCAAGATCCGAGAGGAGAATGGAGAGGGGATTGCCGTGTGGCCATCCCCCCTGGGGGAAAAAAAAAAAAAAAAAAAAAAAAAAAAAAAAAAAAAAAAAAAAAAAAAAAAAAAAAAAAAAACACCCCAAAAAAAAAAAAAAAAAAAAAAAAGAGCTCGGAGAAAAGCCCCGTGACACGGCTGGATCTGAGCAGAGACCTGAAGCGGTGAGATATGAAGGGAGCCGTGGGCCGTGTGAGACCGGAGCAGGGCAGAGGTGGAGCGGGGATGCCTGCGGTGTGTGCAGAGCTCTGCTGGGGACAGCATGGCTGGGAGGGCAGGAGAGGAGGCGAGCAGGCAGCTCAGAGATGCAGCAGGGAGGGTCAGGCCCCCAGGGCTCTGAAGGCCCTGGACAGACTTCGCCCCTTGTATTCGGAGGGTTTGAGCGAGGGAACGTGGTCTGAGGTCCCAGCAGAAGACCCCGGCTGCCAGCGGATGGTGGAAGGCGGAAGCAGGCAGTGGGGCCAGGGAGGAGGCAGGAGCCGGGGCAGGTGACGCAGAGGAGGCCTCGGCTTCTGCACAGACATGGGTCTGACCGGGCAGAGGTGGGATTTGCTGATGGAACAGACGTGCACAACGCCCAGGTGTTTGGCTCAAGCACCTGGGGAGGTGGAGGTGCCTTGCTGATATGAGGGAATGGAGGGCGGGGGCAGGTCAGGGACAGGCCGGGAATGAGAGTTCAAACGTGCTGAGCAGAGGGAGCAGGGCAGAGCGCACAGAGCGAGAGCCATCGGCCTGGGTAGGCGCTCCAGGACAGGCAGGGGTGCAGGGACTGAGCAGTGGGCGGTGGGGAGGGACCAGCCCAGCAGCCTGGGGACGAGGCGCGGCCAGGGGAGGCAGAGGAGGGAGGTGTCTCGGGAGCTCAGCAAAGAGACATGGCAAGTCGCAGTCACCTGAGCCACGTGGCGCCGGAGACTGAGAGAGCAGAGATGGACCAGCGGGCTGGGTGACGGGCAGACATTGGCGACCATGGCGAGAGCCGTGTGCCAACCTCTGGCCCTGTTTCTGAGGCGGGCACCTGCTTCTCCAGCCAGAAGGAGACTGGTCTGAGCAGGGCCAGGATGGGGCTCCTCCAGCCCTGGCGGACTTGCGTTCTGGGGCGAGGACCATTTCTCTGGTGGAGACGTGGTCAGAGGGCCTGTCGACACTCCTGTGCCATTGAAAGAGCACTCCCTGCTGGGTTCCCTCTCCTATAGCGGGTGGGGCCCAGGGAGCCCTCGGTCTCCGGAGCACCCCGAACACGGCGTTACGCATTTCAGTCCCCTCGTTTTACAGAAGTGGAAACTGCGCAAGGGAGGGACCACGTTAGGACCCTGCAGAGGTGCTAGGACAGAATCCCCCTTCCCCAAGGGGCCGTAGACCCCCTCTAGCCATGCCAGGAGCTTTCGAGCCAGCCTGCCCTAGTTCAAGCCACCTCCTAGCCTCATGAACGCGGCATTTCACCTGCTACTCTAAGCTTCAGTTTTGTCAGCTGTAAAATGGGGGTTACTGCAGGATTAAATGAGATCATGCGTGTTGTTTGGTCATTATTCTGCTGACCAAGCCAGAGTCCTTGGGTCCTTTCATTAAACCTGGGAGCGTTATTAGGGGACTATGGCTGTTCCCAGGAGCCAGCTGCGATTGGAGGTTTCCCCACAAGGTTTGGCCCTAAGATGGCTGAAGCCTCGTCTCTGAGCTTCCCATGGTCTCCGGTGGTCTAGCCGAGAAGCGGCAGGCCAGGGAGAGTCTCTGAAACCGCTCGTGGCGAGCCCTGCACAGCTCTGGGCAGAGCTGACATCCACCCGGGCCTGCTGGCCTGGGCGGCGTCCCCTTCCCTCTGGGTTTCCCAGACGAGGTGTGGCCAGGCCTCTGTGGGTGGGTGCGGATGGGGTCCCTGGCCTCACCCGGCCCTCGGCTCTCCGCAGATCAGCAATGCCATCCTCATCATCTTCGTCAGCTACTTCGGCAGCCGGGTGCACCGTCCGCGGCTCATCGGCATCGGGGGTCTCCTCCTGGCTGCGGGCGCCTTCGTCCTCACACTCCCGCACTTCCTCTCCGAGCCCTACCGGTACAGCGTGGCCAGCGCCGGTGAGTGACCGCCCACCTCCCGGGGGACGGGCGAGCCTGTCAGGGCGGGCGGGTACTCCTGGGCAGTGGACACTCCTCTCAGAGCCAGGAGACCCGAGTCTCTCCCCAGCGACTGGCCCTTGGCAAAGTCACCAGACGTGGAGGCAAACGCCCCATCCTGTTGTACCTTGGTGCCCCTCACTGCGGGTCCTCTCCCCCAAAGGGGTCCCTCGGCTTTTCTTTGTCTGTCTCTCCCCCTCGGGATGGGGTGGAACATGTGCATTTGGGATGTGCATGTGCGAGGGAAGAGCATCCTCTGCAGGGTCTGGTCACCTCCTCTGGCCCTCTGGCCCATCAGAAGTGCCCTGTGTGTCTCCACTGACTGTCCAGGGATTCAGACCCGGTTCCCTGTGGGATCTGACGTCACACGAGTGCCACACCGTGGAGCCAGACTCTGTGGCGTTCATGGCTTCACTTTGTGGTAAAGCATGTCTGATGCTCAGAAGATCCGGAAGCACACGGAATGGTGGAGTCGCTTTCTGAGCCCTGGCTCGTTCAGGGAGGGGTGTGTAGCCCCCGGCTCACCTCCCTCGTCTCACTGTGCTGCAGGCCACACACACCCAAACCCCACCGGAGACACTGTGAGCACGCCTGTGACCGGGCCTGGTGGGAGGTCACAGCCCCGATCAGGACAAGACCTGTGACGTTCCCCACGACTTCCTCACCCGCCACGTTTTAGCGTGTGCTATGTGCTATGCTCCTACTAAGACTTACCTGATTCCCTGGGATCCCAGTGGGGACAGAGCAAGGGGCAAGGTGAGGGCGGGACACTCAGCTCAGTGTCACAAGGGCCATTCGGTTGGGAAAGGAGAGACTCAGGTCTCCTGGTTCTTAGACGAGGGGCCCTTGGCGACCCCAACCTCTGGTTCTTAATGAGAGGTACCATGGCAGGATCAGAAGGGTCAGGGTTTTACGTGGCCCTGTGCAACGTTCAGCTGCCTAGGAAGAGGTGTCTTCTTCTTACAATCATTTTATTTTTTAATATAAAGAAAGTTCACAATACAGCAAAGTAAAGAATAAAATATATGTGTCTGTATTGACCATCAAGATTTACAAGTTTGGGGACCAGCAGTTAGCATAATGGCTACGTCACTGAAATCCCACATAGCCAACCAAGGTTCAAGTCCCAGACCAGGTGTCTTAAACTCACGCCGGGCGCGGGTGCGTGCGTGCCCAAGATCCCAAGAAGAGAATGGAGGAGAAGGGATTGCAGCATGGCCATCCCCCCTGGGGGGTGATTTCTCACTTTCTGTCTCTCTGTCTCTGTCTGTCTGACGAGTGTGCATGCCCTGTAGCTAAAACCTCTCCAAAAACAAAAAGAAAAGAAAAGAAAAAGAAAGAAGACATTATCTCCTTCTCAGGCCCTCACTTCTCCCCAGAAGTGACTGTAGTCTGTGGTCTACATCCACAAGCTGATGCTTCTCTGTATACCGCTCCCCCTTCCAGTACCCATGTCCTTATTCCTACCGCACACTCGACTGGCTTGGAAGCTACACATTATTAGTTATCCTCACACTTTTATTTACAATACATACACAGTGAAATGGACTTTTCATTGGGGACGATGTGCAGTTCTCTACATTTTAAGACGTTTATAGATTCATGGACCCGCCGCCATGTAAGGACGCCGAGATGCAGGGCCTGACCCCAAAGTTGGTCGTCCTTCCCCTCCAGTCACTTCTCCCACCTCTGCGGCCGTTCTGCTTCCTATCACTATAGTTTTGTGGTGTTGAGACAATCACATAACTGGGAATATATAGTATATCAGCTTTTAAGACTGGCTTCTTTTCTTTTTTTAGCGAGAGAGATTTTTGCTGTAGGCCGTGTGAGGTCACCAGAGAGATAGAAACAGAGAGAGACATCCCCAGGGACGATGGCCACTTTGCAATCTGTTCTCTTCTATTCTCTTCTTGGGATCTTGGACACACACACACACACACACACACACACACACACACACACACACCCTGTATGAGTTTTAAGCCACCAGGTCCAGGACTTGAACCGCGGTCTACTATGTGGGAGTCCAGCAATGTAACCATTGTGCCATCTGCTGGTCCCGCTTTTCTTTTTTTTGAGACTGGCTTCTTCTTCTTCTTTTTTTTAATCAATTATTTATTTATTTATTTTTACATTTCCCCACAAACATTTACTTTACATATCAAAAAATGTTTGCTCATACTCCATAGTTCTTGACTGTTAATAAACAGCTTTCAAAACCTGAATTTTAAAGATAATGTTCAAAATAGTTCTTATGATTTTGTTTTGTTTGTGACTCTATAGCAGACTCTATAACTCTATAACAGTATGGTTTTAAATGTTTTTGAGAAAATATTTACCTGTCAACTACTCAGACTGTTGAAAAGCAAACGCCCAGCACACAATTCACACGTGAACCTTCTCAACTCAGCCCTGCCCACCAAGTGTTCTGTGATAGACCATCTGCTAGCAAGGAGCAGTCTCTTTCTTCCTTCAGAGTCTTCCCCGAGATAATCCTCTGGTTGTGGCTGCTCCTTTGCAATCTCTACTGATTATGATTCTGGGCTGGAAAAGGCCAGGTTATTATATGGTACGAATTCTTTCATACAGCGTCTCTAATCCTCTCTGCCCGGCAGAACTGTTCATGGTGCCAGGTCAGCTTTCCAAGAGCTTCTGTTGGCTTCCATGGTTTTCTGGTTAATCTTCAGATCTGACATTCTGGGCAAAGCCCTGTCCAATAATGAGTATTTCCAATTTCTGATTCAAAGCAAGAGCTATTATGGAACTTATACAAATAACCATTCTGCCACAAAATAAGATAACTCCCAAATGTTTACCAATTCCAGAGGGGTCAGGAAGGGAGAAAACTTTAGGTTTTCATTTAAAGAAACAAACAAGAAAGAACAATATTTTAACAAATTGCTGAACCTATCATCAGCTCAAAAGAAAGCAAAATCCTTAAATTGGGAAAACAAAGCATAGAAAAACAAACAAATGACAACAACAGCAACAAAAAACAGTAATATTTTACTCAAAAGTCATAAAATTCTGTGTCACCAGTTCAGTCTTATGTTTAATATATCTTCTGTTGAATCTGCAGTGTTACTGTGGTCCGATCTTTCCGTTTAAATCCCGGAAGTTACCATTCAATGTTATTGATATTCCTTGTCCCTAGCATTAAATTGGTCATTTTCTTGGTTACTTTTTGTTCTCTTATTTCTGTCTGTGTCTTTAGTTTTTGTGGTAAAGCACTCCTTTCAGAACTTTTTTGAAGATCTGGTCTGGTGTTGGTAAATTCTTTCAGGTCTTGTTTATCTGAGAATGTTTTAATCCTTTCTTTCCATATGAAGGATAATCTTGCTGGGTATAATATTCTTGGTTGAAACTGTTTTTCACTTAGCACTTTGAATATGTTTTCCCATTCTTTCCTTGCTTACATTGTATCTGATGAGAGTTCTGATCTTAGCCTGATGGGTAACCTTGTAAGTAACCTGACCTTTCTCTCTCATCTTTGGCCCTGGATTTTGCCAATCTGGCTATGATGTGCCTTGGAGAAGATCTTTGTGAATTAATTCTGTTAGGAGTCCTCTGTATTTCTTGGGTGTGGATATTTCAATGCTTCTCTAGAGTTGGAAAGTTTTCTTCCAGGATTTCATGGAATAGACTTCTGGCCCATCGCATCCTGGGCAGATTCCCCATCCCCTGTGTGTGTGTTAGGCTGATCAAACAGGGCGTTCAAGTCAATGTCTCCATGTGGGAGTGGCTTCTCTTGACCAGTACATTACCAGTAGGCCCCAAAGTCAATGCTGTAGTTATTGTTGCTAGGGATGCTGTAGGTTTTATGTGGGTATAAGCTTATGAGGTTGTCTTTCCATATGTGTCTATGTCATCCATATTTTCTCCTTGGTGGTCTATTCAAGTCTTCTGCCCTTTTTTAAATTGGGTTATTTGTTTTCTTAATTTTGAATTTGAGATGCCCTATATATTTTGGACACCATTCTTTGTTATATAGGAGATTTACAAATATGTCCCCACAGTCTTTAGCTTATCTTTCACAGTCTTTTTAAGTTGCCAAAGTGTGCATATGCTCACCAGAGACAGGGCAAAGGCACTCCCCATATAGTGCAGACATACTGCAATGCCTTTCCTCTGTTCCTTCATCCTGTTTGGATGTGGGGCACACACACACACACACACACACACACACACACACACATGTTTGTCAAGCTGACAGGGCCAGGATTTGAACTATAGTCAGTCTTGTGGGATCTGGATCCCTTGACCTCTAGGCTACAGGACTGACCCTATCTTTTATGACAATAGCAGTGTCATTGGCAGAACAAAAATCTGAATTTTGTTTAACAATATATTATTATTATTATTTAAATCTGCCAGAGGGCATGTGTGCTCACTGGAGAGAGACAGAGACAGAAAGAGAGAGAGGGTATAAGGAAGTACTCCTCCATGGGGAGTGGTCATACTGCAATCCACCTCCTCCATTTCTCTGTCCTTTTGATATGTGGGCTATGCATGCACACGTGAGTGGCATATTTCTCATACCGACTCCGGGTCCTGGGCTCAGCCCGCACAGTCAGCCGTGTGGGATCCAGCTGCCTTAACCACCATGCCACCCACAGGCCCATCTCTTTTGTTCCCTTTGTGGATCAAGCTTTTGGTGCCACATCTAAGAATTTTGCTTAATCCCATGTCAGGAAGGTTTTCTCATGTGCATTTTTTAAAGATTTTATAATTTTACATTTAGATCTATAATCCATTTTGAGTTCATTTTATGAAGTTCTTTTTCCTTTTTCTTTTTGTCTATGTATATCAGACTGTCTCATCATCATGTGTGGAAATGAGTCCTTTTCTCTTTCAGTTGTTTTCGCGTTGTGATGAGAAAACAATTGGCCGTAGTCGTGAGTCGGTTTTTGAACGGTTTTGTTTCATTGATTGATGCGTCTGTTCCTTTGCCAATATATCAC